GGAAGTCATTTTATATCATGACTACCCGAAAATGCGAAAATTGGCGGCCATTTTTCAAAATGGCCGCCAATTTTCGCACACCATTTTGCAAAATGGCCGCCATATAGAGTACATCAGTAAAATAAGTATGAGATCATCCCATGATCTAAAATATTTTTATCATTTCTTTGCAAATTCAATACGAGAAGCCTCACAGATTGTTGTAATTTTTTATATTTGGGGGGAAAAAGTGGGGAAAAAATTGAATTTTCCAAAAAATGTTCCTTTAACTCAATTTTAAATCCTCATAAATTATGTATCTAGAATATTGTGAGAACAGACGAAAGTTTATTTTAAGGAATATATCATTAGATTTACTTACATTTATAATGTATGAGCTTGATTGGCTATAGATCACCTATGAAAACTTATCAAAATCAACGCAAACATATTTCATTTCAACATCAATGTCAAAGTAGCTATCTCATTAATCTATGGAAGGTTACTCAATCATGTGTAATTGTATCTAGCTTGACTGGATCAGAAAAGTGCAGTGCACTTAAGAGCTGCTTTTAAACACTTTGACCAGTTTGAACATTTTATACACATGCATTTCAGCAATTCCTGGCAGCCCTTTCATGCCAACAGAAGAGTTGTCCATACAGGTCCAAGCTCTCCCCTAGAGTTATTTCCAACCCTATACAGAGGGCTTGGTAACGCCTGTGATTTCATCAGGGATTGCTCTGAAACATAACTCCCCTGATTTACAGCTCTCTTTATATGTTGGATCAAAGCTGATTCTGTTGGGGGAATATTGTCCAAAGTTCTCCCCATCGTGGTGAACAAATGCTTTCTTGCTTCATTCACTTTCATGAGGTTGCTTGCTCTGTCATACAGCAGTACAACAAATCCCTCAAGCTGATGAATCAGCATTAGTGATTAGTGATTTCAAGTGGTGGACAGGTGAGGGAAATAGAGGTGCCTGTAAGTTCAGGAAAAGCAATCCATGCATTCCACGAGGTCTTTTCATATCAAAGGATGACACAATGTCACAATCAGCATTAGTGATTAGTGATTTCAAGTGGTGGACAGGTGAGGGAAATAGAGGTGCCTGTAAGTTCAGGAAAAGCAATCCATGCATTCCACGAGGTCTTTTCATATCAAAGGATGACACAATGTCACAGAATGTGAAGCTGTGAAACATTGGAAGGGATTTACTTTTCTCAGGACCCAGACCTGATGCAAGTTCATGAATTACAATATAGCGGAAGAGTTTTCCGGTACCAAACCCCACCCATACTTCTTCAAGATCTAGAATGCCTGTTGCAGCTATGGCCAACACAACCACATCAGTGTCAACAGTACGGCTGTAAAACTTCTTCCATCCTTTATGTGAACTTTCTTTTATCTTTTTATCTCTTCACAGTTACAGGGTGCCAATTCCAAAAGGTCTTTTGGTTGATTGGACACCACATATTCGCCAATAGGGCTGATGACTTGTTTGATTCTATCAAGGCTATTTTCTGTACAAGGAAAGCAAAAAGATATTTCTTGCTGGTATCACACCTCGGGAATTCTTGCCAGTTCCTCAGAACTGGCTTCCACTCGTCGTCTTTTTCCACTTCCTCTTTTTGTTCTTACACTGGATTTTTTACGCTGTCCGTTTTGTATTCGTCCCAGACAATATCCACTCTCTGATTAGTGTCCAGAAGAGACTGCAAGTACTTCAAGAACACATTATCAGCATATTCATCAAATGCTATTGGAGCTGCTGGTTTTAGCATGTTTATTACTCCAGATCCATCAAGGATTGATACGTCAACATTTGGTGTTGAGTCAGTTGGTGGTGAAATTTTCTTCAAAGCAATTGAGAAGAACTGATTTTGCGCATGGACGTAGAGAACCTTGATGAGATATAGTTGGATAGCAAGACTGATTTTCATGTCTGACAAACTCATCCAGGTTTCCATCCCTTGACTCGTCTGCGTATATCTTGTCTTCATGGAAGAAGTTCTACATCCGTATTGTTGACACAGATGTGGTTGTGTTGGCCATTGCTGCATCAAGCGTTCTCAGTGTTTCACAGCTTCACAGGCCATGACAGTATGTCATCTTTTGGTGGAATTGAAAAAGAAGGCTTCGCGGAATACATGGAATACTTTTCCTGAACTTACAGGCACCTTTATTTCCCTCGCTTGTCCACCACTTGAAATCCTAATGCACAAAATTAATCAGCATGAGAGAGTTGTTGTACTGCTGTATGACAGTGCAAGCAACCTCATGAAAGTGAATGAGCAAGAAAACATTTGTTTGCCACAAAGGGGAGAACACTGGACAATATTCCCCCAACAGAATCATTCCCCCAACAGAATCAACTTTTATCCAACATACTAGTAACTATGGACAACTCTCACGAAGGCATGAAAGAGCTGCCGGGAATTGCTGAAATGCATGTGTATAAAATGTTCAAACCGTCCAAGTGCGTTAAAGCATCTCTCAAGTGCTATGCACTTTTCTCATTCAGTCAAGCTAGATACAATTACACATTCCATAGAGTGATGAGATAGCTACTTTGACATTGATGTTGTGTTGATTTTGATATGTTTTTATAGGTGTTCTATAGCCAACCAAGCTCATATATTATACATGTAAGTAAATCTAATGATATATTCCTTAAAATAAACTTTCGTCTGTTCTCACAATATTCTAGATACATAATTTATGAGGATTTAAAATTGAGTTAAAGGAACATTTTTTGGAAAATTCAATTTTTTCCCCACTTTTTCCCCCCAAATATAAAAAATTACAACAATCTGTGAGGCTTCTCGTATTGAATTTGCAAAGAAATGATAAAAATATTTTAGATCATTTGGCGGCCATTTTGCAAAATGGTGTGCGAAAATTGGCGGCCATTTTGAAAAATGGCCACCAATTTTCGCATTTTCGGGTAGTCATGATATAAATTGACTTCCGTAGACCTAACTGTTAAAGATAAAAAGACATGTATAGATGGAAAATGACCAGCTATGGATTTCCTACAATTTGATATATGACTTATGAGAATTGGAGAATTTTGTAAAAGGTTATGACGAAAATAGTATAAAAAATTATATTTTTTCACTTTTTCCCCAAAATTATGGAAAATATAAAAAATCTGCGAGGCCTCTCGATCTTTATTCAGTTAGAATTGTATAAGCTACAATCATGCCAAGTTTCATGCTTGTAACACAAAGTGCACAATTTGATCACTTATCCGCTGGGCTAATATACATTATTTGTGCGTAGATTGTAGGACTCAAAATGAAAAACAAAACTTCCTGGATTCTGCATTTTCATTGAAGTATCAGAATTGTATGCCTTTTCCCACTTCAAACACCGGGTGTGCGTCAAGAGAAGACCGGGCCACTTGCAAAAAAAAACCAATATTAGCGCTACAATTATAAATAGTAAACTCTTACGATTGCGAAATGAAAAGCGATTGTAGGCAGTTTGGCAACATACGGGTGGTACAACAACTGTTTAAATTGTTACCAGAAGTGAAACAGTTCAAGATTACTCTCGCCATTGTTTAAATATACTACTCAAAAGTTGTTAAAAACATTCTTTCATACTACAATAGTTAATCTATGACATGGCAGATTGAATGTCACATCTAGCACTTTAACATGAAAATAATGTGACATTCAGTCGGGGGGTGAGCCACGTGGTCGGGTATTCATTAATTGTGACATCGATGTAGGTGAGCCAGGATCCGGTGAACGTACGTGTGAATCCCAGATCCGCCTTGGGACATGTACCACAAAACGATCTTAGCACATGTCTTAACACATGTTTTATTACATTGTTCTGACATGACAGTCACAGTTGTGGAACAGCACCCCGATTATGACACACACATCCCCCACCCTTTAAAAAAATAAATAAATAAATAAAAAAATAAATAAAAAATGTTTGTTAGCACCATACCTGTGCTCGAGCTTGTCTGAAATCTAAGTCCAAGTCATGCATCTCTTACTTAAGGCGTTCTTCAAATATCAATCCGTTACGATGTAGCATAATGGACATTGACACGCTGGATAATATGACGATGACCAGGTACTAAATACCTCCATGGTCGCACTGCCGGACTTGGCTCGGGGCACTAAACCGGTTTTTCAGGTCAACAGCGTCATGCCCCTGATAGGTCTGTCATTGAAAATTATCCCTGAGGCCTAACATGTTCAATATTGTATTTTATCGCCAGGTATTCACGTGTACTGTCAGGAAGTCTCCATAACACTTATGCAGACTCACACGCCGTCGCCTTAAATATGACAATGAAATAATTTGATATTTTGTTTTGAAAATATCAGTGCTAGATTAACACATGAAAATATGTTATCGGTAATCTAATAGTCAATAACAGCCTTATTTGTTTTAAGATATTTTTGTTCTTGATACGAATTGATATTCACACAGAAGTTATTTTGTGAGAGTATTTTTCAGTTTTTTAGTTTGGTTTATATATATACTTTCCATTTGAATTGAATATAGTTGACAAGTTGATTGACGAGACTAGTTCGGATTTCACTTCGATTCTATTTTTAAATTATCACAGGGATAAGCAACGGATAGTGGCTTGGTATTGAAGGACAAAATACGTTCCATTCTGCTTTACTTTCATAATGATATGTTTCAGTTTTGAGTAACAAAAAGCCAGATACATTTCATGATCAAAAGACATCAATTCATGCAATGGAAGTTCGTTTTTTACCCGTAAAGAATATCATTTACTTCTTAGACATAAGGTCATATAATCGTTAGTTCACATTGTTTTGTTTTTTTCAAAATATGCGTGAAATAATCCATCTTATCAGTTATTCGCCTTGTTAGAAATTTATTCGGAAAAACTATTTCGCCCGATTCCGCGTTCGTTTTAACACGATTTAGATCATTGTATGCACCGATAACCTTTGACCCTACTCGAAAGCTTTCACGATGTTGCCACTAAGTATTCACATATCTGAGTGTTAAATGAAAGGATAAGGGAGATAACTGCTACTGAGAGTACTCGGATCTGCGTAGGTTGTCGAAACATTCAACTGGTCTGCTGAGATAGAATTACGGTTCTTAAAACGCCGATGCCTGTATGTTGTAACACGATAGCCAAGGAAGTTTACATCCCCAGTAGCCATGTAGTATGTTGGATGGAGAATTATTGATCGGAGGAAGTTGTGGACTCCTGAGATCGAGAGAACCGACGAGACTGTGGATCACGTGACACGGTAAGTACAGCGTGTAGGTAAGCTGAATATGACAGCTAAATGACGCACGCTCGGTGACGGTGATTCATGCGAGTTTGATGTCGTAAACAATAACAGGCTGTACCTTGTCATTTATGGTATTATTATGGAACAAACTTCATGTTATTGTCTCGGACAGTAACGACATGGGTGTTGATAGTTTGTCCACGTGAACGGCTATCCCATCTCCAGGCCAATATTCGTTGCATTAGGTGTAACATGATATTTTATGCCTGGTCTGTTTTCATCCCATCTACCTTTATATGGGCATTAGTTTGTTTTTGATTCGGCGACCTATGAGATGTTACTTTCAGATCTTCGACTGGTTAGTGGTACCTATTTTGAAGGAATGGAGAGTTACGAGGATATTACCCTACTTAAATTACATTCAAAGTATTGGGAATATTTCTGTTGTCAAAATTAAATGTCAAAATGACAAAATGAAGGCTTTAATTTGAAACTGGTACAAATCGCTCCATTCCTGAAAAGTAATGGAGCGAGCAGACAATGGAATGACGTCACAAATGTAATTTAAATTGAAGTACAGTACTATGTTAATTAAGTGAGAAAAATGAAATTATGAACATGTCTCTTAGTTGAGGATGCCTCAATATCTGCACTTAGAGTGAGTGAGTTTGATTTTACGCCGCTTTTAGCAATATTCCAGCAATAATACGGCGGGGGACACCAGAAATGGGCTTCACACATTTTACCCATGTGGGGAATCGAACCCGGGCCTTCGGCGTGACGAGCGAACGTTTTACCCACTAGGCTACCCCACCGCCCCTCTGCACTTAGAACACAGTTCGTATATTATTGGATCACATGTATTAGGTACATATAGGATTTAAAAAGACATATTTAATCTCTGAGATACGCTGTCGGGTAAGGATATGGATCCCCAGTAACCTGTGCTTGTCGTGCAAGGCGGTTAAATAGTTCGATGTTCATGATGTCAATCACTGGATTTGAATACATGATACGTTTTATGGATAACAACTTCTTTCAGGTGAATGAAGGAGCAAGAATTAGCTCTGAAACGTCGTGTAAAGATTGTACTTTGGTTTGTGGATACCTAACATATACGGGTGTCATTGGAACTGTATCTGTATTGGCATACAACTTCTAAATGCCTTACATCACAATACTAAAATTTTAGTCACGACGATATATTGCCAAAGTGTCGTGCACTGAAGCTGCGATACGATACGAATCCCGATATAAGGGTGACGATACGATACGTATCACGATACTAAAATATTTAATTCTAACACCAACTAATAAAACATTTGAATATCAAAACAAAACCATTATCAAATTGTATTTCGTCAAATTCCGCTAGCGTTTTTCAATGTTCATTCGGAAACGACAGATAATGAAATGAATACTAATACGTGTATCATGTGCATAACGAATTATACGAAAATGATTGTCCTTCCTGTGGTATTAGCTGACCGAGCGAAGTTATGCAGGAAGGTCACGAGTTTCTTATAATTCGTATGTAATGAGACCTCGTGTAGTATTTTATTTATTACCCACGTCTTATATATGCATTAAATTGGTCAAAACTAGCGTAGTTTTGTTACGTTTCCCATATTCACTTCATCCCGAAACCGGACCCTCATAAAGAGGTTGGTCTTCAGTAACCCATTTGTACTGTAGTACAATGACTTGCATGACGTCACACTGTAATGACGTCACTGCCATGGTAACCGACGTCACGATGCATGTCAGTTGTCATCGCCTCGTACAGCTTCCTACAGTAAATTACTCCGTAGCACCTCGTTTCTGGGTTTCCAGTTGCTTCATTCGGCTAACATCGACTGGTGGAAACACTAAACGCATGTTTTCGACGGATATAATGTCTCAGTTCGACTCACAATTAAACAGCGACACGGCAACGTTCGCAATGTTTACATTCCCACAATGCATTTAAGTTGTAGAATGAATGAATTCACGTGTTCGTTATGAATGAAAAAATAGTTACGTCAGAATGTGACCTGATTGAGAGGTCATCGGTTATCCAATCAAATCGTTAGAATCTCAGGTCAAGTCGTTACGACACAGGTCAACGCGATACGACACTCGTGTGACGTACGAGATTAGTATGCAACTACCCATACGTTGACCTCGTGGGTAATAATTAAGTTTATACACGGACTTTGTGAATGATAATAACACGTGAGCGCTATGTCGGACACAGTTCTTGACGCAAGAATTTCCGAGAAAACGTTTACTTATGAAGGGAAAATAAGTAAGCAAATATTATAATCATCGATCAAAAGTGAGTTTTTTTTTTGACAGATATCGCGATTCGGCAGTGTTCAAAGTTAAACATCGATGTATCGTTGCCCATTTGAAGTATCGCATCGGGATATACGACAATGCAAAACATTGTATCGATTCACTGTATCGGCGGCGAATGGATGGATGGATGGTATCGATGAATCGTCACACCACTGTATATAGTGCGTAACAGCATAACAGATGCCCCTACTCACACTACTCACAGACGTCGAACACACAGTTGGGGACTTCGTACTAACCCCCAGGTCATTACAACTCTTCGTCTATAAATATCTACATTACTCAATGGTTTTGAATACACTTTACAAGTTCTGAGTCCGACCTTGACCCTGATCCAGTGGAACAGTAAACAGCTAAAAAATCCTTGGTTTATGCGAGCAGGCCACAAGAAGTGTGACTCTCCTAAAAATATTTTGCTTGAGTTACACGCATGTTAGAATAATTTTACAGGAGACTGGGTCGTTCCAACTGCTTCGTTTTTCAGAGTGTTCGTAATGTCACTACTTTCACGGCTTACGATAGGGTTACTGGACTTTTCCCGACAGTATTCTAACCTGCGCAGGAAGATCCCAACAGATTTCTAGTCTATCGCCTTAACCACTCGGCCACGACGTATACCATGTTGTCATCGTGCCATCTCTCAAACTAAGGCCAGCGATAATATTTAATGAGTGATTGAGTATAGTTTTACGCCGCTTTTAGCAATATTCCAGCAATATCACGGCGGGGGACACCAGAAATGGCTTCACACATTGTACCCATGTGGGGATTCGAACCCAGGTCTTCGGCGTAACGAGCGAACGCTTTAACCACTATGCTACCCCACCGCCCCTAATATTTAATATTATTTAATATACGATCCCCTTGGGTGGTGGAGTAGCATAGTGGTTAATATGTTCGCTCGTCACGCCTACGACCCGGGTTCTCCACATGGGTACAATGTTTGAAGCCCGTCTCGTGATGTTGCTGGAATATTGCTAGAAGCGGCGTAAATCCTCTCTCACTCTCTATACATGCACCTCAATACTAATTTGTAATAGTTAATGTCAGAGCTCAATGATAATAAGGGCACCACGTTTATGATAATCTCAAACTTACATGTCCAGTCAGCATATCCCTCAACAACAGATGGTCAACTTTGAATACGCTAATGTCCTGATTGGCAAATCTTCGATACCGAGGTTCAAAATATCTTCACCCAGTCGTTTTCCAGTTTAAAGCCATATTGATGTCAAGACAACCACAATTTGGCTTGTCACTGGAAATGTAGTCCAGGGATTAGGTGAAAAACCATTAACCACATGTTCGGAATGTATAATGACAATAGAAAATTGTTTTCACTACTGGACATCTACATGTCGCTAATAAAAACATATGGTATAGATTATGATTTATGCACAGGCCTTCAGTGAGTGAGAAGCGCTCAAATATTGGAGTATTGTAAAAAACGTTTCATATACCCAGCGATCCCGACTATTTCCTTTATAAAAATATAATACAACTTAAAGTTTATTTTGTCAATGTATGTTTGTAAGCATTACAATTATGAAAATTATTACAATAACAAAAAAAAAAAAACAAACGAAACACACACACACCAAGGGATAGTTTGCTGTCATGACCGAAATTAATGTTTCTTTTTATTATGCTGAATCCTGTTAACTCACAATTTTAAACACATCTTAAATGCTGTTCGAAACCATTTTACGACTGACCGTATACCGGTATATATAATTAAATAGGAAAAGAGAAAGCTTCCCTTCAGCGAACCCACGTTTTCAATCACAAAGAATCAACAATAATATTTTACTAAAATATATTTTAACAAATAAAGTTGAATTATGTGATTCTTGTAATGATTTTCAGGAGTCTCCACCAGGTCTCTGTCACAATGGCCACAGATCTGAAGGGTGAATTGACCTGTCCAATATGCATGGAGCTTTTTCAAAGGCCGTTGAGGTTACCGTGTGGCCATTCCTACTGCAGAAACTGTCTACAAGCCTTTATCGGTCAGCAGTCTCAGAAAGACGTTGTCACTGGTCACCACAGACCGGTTAATTGTCCAGAATGTCGGCACATGTTGGACGCCACCTCAGAGGGCGCTGACGCGTTTCCGGTGGACTTCAAACTCTCCAAGTTGGTAGATGTCTACAAGAAAATGCAGGACTTTGAGAATCAGAACGAGGTTCGTTTGTGAGATTGGTCATGCATGTAGGTTTGGTTGTTACTTAACGCCGCACTCAGCAATATTCCAGCTGATGTTACTTCGGCCTGTATAGAAACTCGATCAGACACGTTTGTGATTGGCATGATGAGGACCAATCTAAGCACTGTGATCTGATGACGTGTAGCCATATGCGATTGTACCCAACCGATCTTTTAAGACCGCAAGTATAGGTGACTGGCACCCTTAGGAAATTCTGTTACCAATACCACGCAGAGGGTAAATGGTTTTAAACCCGGAAATATTCTGCGGGGAAAAGACTAATGCAACTGTCCCTGGACAATGTAGGTGTGTACGCAAAAGCATTATGAAGAATGTTTGAACATGTTCTACAAATATGAAGATCCGTAAAGATCTGGGTTAGAATTGATCTTCAGCAGCCCATACTTGTCGTAAGAGGCAACTAACGGGATCGGATGGTCAGGCTCGCTGACTTGGTTTAAACATGTCATCGTATCCCAATTACGTCGATCGATACTATTGATCACTGGATAGTCTGGTCCAGACTCCATTATGTACAGACCGCCGCTATACAGCTGGAATATTCATTAGTGCGGCGTAAAATTAAACTCACTCATTCACTACAAATGTCAATAAGGCCTTTGAGGACTTTTAATTAAAATATCCCTAGCCATAACTAAGAATGTCTTAGTCTTATGTCGAAAACAGTCTTATGTCTTGCGAAATATTGCTGGGTCTATTCTGACCTAACCTACGCGACTGTTTCAGCTTAAAAACAAAGAACCACCTGACGAAAATCCGGAAGACGAGGCAACAAAGAACCAAGAGGAGGAGCTCCTGGGAGCATGTGGATACACACCAATAGCTGGTGAACTTCCGGTGCCGGAGGGTCTCAAAGACTCCTCGGACATCGGAAAGGAGGACGTTTGTGACGATGTGGAAAGGGACATGAGTGAACGGACCAAGCAAAAAGCAGTGTACGGTAGTGATTCGGACGCAGACAGTGAAAAGGAGCTTTCAGACGATAGTGAGAATGCCAGTGTGCCCAAGAGAAGAAAACGAAGGAATAAGGTGATACGATTCTTCGCCTCGCTCCTCTCACTTTCTTCCTCTGATGGAGAATATGACCTCAGGGAGGCCTCCTCTTCTTCCTCTGATATTGACACATCACGACCTGTGAGAGATTGCAAACCGGCCACTAAAGAAGTCCCAAAGCGTAGGAATCGCTGGGGTTTTCTGACGTCTTCGTCATCAGAATCTGATCATCACGTGGCATCCAGTTCTGATGACCAGGCACACAACGAACCGCCTGTCCGGCGGAGACCAGCGAAGAAACCTAACAGTGTGATGTCAACGATTCAAAAACGACTGAAACCAAGTTCATCTGACAACGAATAATCACAGTTTACCAACGACCCCAAAAGAATTCTTGTCCAAACGGAATTTCATTGTTTTGCATAATGTCTTCGTTACGGACAGCATAGCGATTTTTACATTTGATTTAAGATTTCCAAGGCGACTTACTCAACTTATTGACCTCCTCTTGACCTTACATATTTTCCAGGCTACTTGTTGTTACATTTAGTCTTGCGTAAATACTGAAAAAAATACGAGCGGGTGGATGGAGTGATATTAGACATATTGACGTGCGTGTGTGTGTGGTTGCTGGTGCTTGTCTTAACGATAGGCTTTATAGTGACAGCCCGCCTTGACGCCATGCTAACGTGGTTAACATGTCTGATGCCCCAAGCCTGCCAGTCCTTGCCTAATCCGCCTTATAGATGACGAACGCAATGCAAGTTAACAATAAGTACCTTCAAATAACGGTATAACTGGCAATATTAGATCAGTCCATTGAACCACGTTTCGAAATCCTGAGATAGTCCCAGATAAATGTAAGTTAATTCAAATAACACATCATTTCAGAAAATATATACGTTTGATAATACGTTTATTCATTCGCATATGTTATGAATTTAATGCTTCAGTTGATAGTCTATGTCATTTATTGATTCTATTACTAGTGACAGATTGGCAGCTCGACGTGTGGGTGAAGGTCATTCAGAGTTCATTGGTTTTGGGTTACTGATTTTCATCGTTCACTGGTTTCGGTAAAAAAGCTGAAAGGAAGTTCTCAGAGGATGAATATGCCCTCGCTAACAAGTCCCTGCAAAGTGGTACCGAACCTCAGTGTTTACAAATTTTAAGATGTCATTATGTATCGTGTCAGCCCAGGAGATGATTATCATTCTGATTACAAAGAGAAAGTATATCGACCCTTACACAAGTACTGTAACGCAAATGGATGTAGGACTCCGCGGCTTCTAACCTCGTAAACTTCTCATATCACTTCCAAACAAATTCGGAGCGGTGGGGTAGCCTAGTGGTTAAAGCTTTGGCTTCGATTCCCCACAAGGGTACAATGTGCGAAGCCAATTTCTGGTGTCCCCCGCCGTGATGTTGCTGGAATATTGCTAAAAGCGGCGTAAAACCAAACCCAGTCAGTCAGTCAGTCTGGTGTCCCCCGCCGTGATATTTCTGGAATATTGCTAAAAGCGGCGTAAAGCCACACCCACTCAGTCCAAACAAATCCCGCTTCATTTGTGGTCAACATTGAGTTTGGGTCGACGCTGCTTTGAACAGGATATACCACCATGTGCATACTTGATGTGGGAGAAAAACCCGAAGTAAAGCAAGTTTGGGATGATCATGGTGAAATACAGGAGGATGAATGGCCATGGTGTTGACCAACGGTCCGGCCATCCCTTGAGTCGAGTAAGAGGCGACTAATGGGATCGGGTGGTCAGGCGCGTTGACTTTGGTGACACATGTCATCGTATCCAAATTGTGTAGATCGATGCTCATGCTGTTGATCACTGGATTCTCTTATCCAGACTTGATTGTTTACAAACCGCCGCCATGTAGCTGGAATATTGCTGAGTGTGTTCGTTAAACAACAACCAACCGACCAATCAGCCGTGAGTGGAACTGACGAAAATAGGTTTCTGACAAGACGTAACTCTGTTTATTGTGATTGTTTTGGTACGCCTGACTACTATGTAAATTATGACTTGTTTGAATTAGGGTAAACCTTGCAGATATATGATGTCTTGCGAACGGTTTATGTGATATATATAAGTGATAAGAATTTAGTCTTAGTAATACAAGTCACGATCATGCATGCGTAGCTTACAATTTTTTAAAGCAATGCTACGCATAGGTGCAATTATTATACCAATTGATGATAGACCCATTTAAGGTGATTGGTTATACTAGCACATTAGTTATAATACATGGCACTGTCCTACAACTAGTCTCACACGTTAAAGAATCAAATGCATTCGGACAATCCTGCATATGTATATCACTCAAAATATGTCTAAGAAAGCCGCTTCTTTTCATGGCATAACACATTCGCTGTAGTTATATGATAGAGTCGGATGTCCCTTAACCTCTGAGTAGTATATCACTCCTCTTTTGATAGGGATACGTTTATCTTCCCATCATGTAATCCAGACTGTTTCTCCCATGTGAAGGGGCGGCGGGGTAGCCCAGTGAAACGTCCGCTCGTCACGCCGAAGACCTGGGTTCGAATCCCCATCTGGGTACAATGTTTGAAGCCCATTGCTATAAGCGGCGTAAACCCATACTCACTGGTGGAAGGGTCGGTGGGGTAGCCTAGTGGTTGAAGCGTTCGCGTGTGTCGGTGTGATTTAGATGTCATCGTGGTTACATCGGCGTTGATCACAATCCATCTTGTACATTTTCACCACAGCGAGGAGTCCAGAATAGACTTGTTCCCGGACGGCCTTGTTTGTCAAGAAAGGTGACTCGTGCATGGATATGGTGAACAGACTTGATTAATGGGTAGATGGCATCGTACCGCACGTCGTTGTTCACTATTTCAATCACAGGATTACCTTCTCCAGATTCTATTCACTGAAGACCCGGGTTCGATTCGCCACATGGGTACAATGTGTGAAGCACTTTTCTGGTGTTCTCCGCCTTGATATTGCTTCAATATTGCAAAGAGCGGCGTAAAACCACACTCACTCTCTCAAGTATTAGATAAATAGAATGACATCTGATTATCCCTATCAAAGGTGAGTAGTATATGTGAAGTGTGAGAAAAGACCAAGACAAGACAATTTGCTATTAGAGTATTGCATATTCCATTTTTGATGATTATTATGTAAAGTACATGTGACGTCATCATCCCCTCCTTGGTGCTCGAGTCCCCTTACCCGCCCCCTATGATATTGCATAGACTCCATACACTGCCTGACCCTGCAGCCCTACCCCCGGTAGCATTGTGTGATAATGAGACACCAATATGCCTATGCGTTTTTGTGTTATTACCTTGCTCAATATCTTTCAGACAAAATGCATATATATAGTATGTTTGTATGGTGCTATTAAATGTGATACTGCTTCGCGGGTGGAATAAATGTGTTATTGTGATGAAATGATTTTGTTCTTGAATATGAGAAGCTGGAAAGTTTGTTTAGAAAAGTTATTTGTGTGTTTGCTGTTTACATCCTCACGCAGCTATTTTCCAGCTTTATGACGGCGGTCAGTCCAGTAGTGTTGGGAATTGGTTAAAATCTCATAATTGATGATTGATTCATTACAACCGATCAATCATCGAAAATAATTGGTTAGCGTCATTTACCAAATCTGCCTAACTGTGTGTATTAATGCACAAAAAATCTAGGAAAAAACATGGGTTTTGGGGGGTTTATTTTGCACCTTGCACAAAATGCATTTGCAAATTTCACATCTTTAAAGAATGATTAGTATGTTAGGAACATAAACATCCTGGCGTCTTTAAGATAAATTCAATCATGACTTGGAACGAGCTCGTAGTGCTTATGAAATGTAACAGACGAAACAAACCTTGTGAAAAATATTTTTAATGCAAACAAGTGTAACAGAATTGTTTGTGTTCGATTACGAGAAAACATGATTGATTGCTTGGTCGTTTAGTCATTGCGACCAATCTTCGATTATTTCAATTAATCGGACCACCACTACAGTCCAGTGACGTACACACGTGGTCGTGATACCATTATATGTCAAGTCAACGAGTCTGGCCACCCGATCCCTTTAGTCCCTCTTTACGACAAGTAAGGGTTGCTGAAGACCAATTCTAACCCGGATCTTCACGGGTGCTATTTTAGCTATGCCATGCCTATCAGCAGAATATAGCGGTGTGTACTGTTTGGTAGAACACGATGATGAGAATGGTTTACTGACTTATCATGTCGAGGTGTAGTTTGATACCAATGCATGATCACATTGTTGGCAGCTCAGAAATGCTGGAACATGAATGGTTCTGGCACCTCAGTCTTCAGTATTTTATCTCCATGAGAACGTTACCCGTGAAGATCCGGGTTACAATTGATCTTCAGGAACCCATGCTTGTAAGAGTCGACTAACGGGATCGGGCGGTCAGGCTCACTGACGTGGTTGACACTTGTCATCGTATTCCAATTGTGTAGATCGATGCTCATGCTGTTGATCACTTGATTGCCTGGTCCAGACTCGATTATTTACAGACCGGCGCCATATAGCTGGAATGGTGCTGAGTGCGGCGTAAAACAACTAACAAACAAAACAAAGGGTGTAGCCTCCCAGTCTGTACCATTAGGAACGAACAGTTGGGCCTGCTAAACCAAGCGTCTTCAGCAGAAAAGTGCAGAGAATCACTCCAAGGTCAACAGTGACATGAGGCGACATTTGAGTACATTCAGCACACAGCACTGTCTGTATTCCGTGGAAGATGGTAGTTGGTGATGTGAGAATTACACGACATGGGGCAGTATTTCAGTTACATCACGAATTGTCAGCTTATTTGCAAGGACCGCTTGCAAGAAAGCATAAACAATCAGGGGAAATCTGTGATTTGAACAAAGTCTTCGATAATGGCTTCATTCCGTCAACACTGTTGAACTTCAAAGATATATTTTTAAAATGTCAGCTGCGCCATTATCGAAGCTATCCATAACGAATCCCTAAAATAGATAATAGGTTACCGAGGCATCGACAAAACCTGAAGTTGTTTTAATCTTAAGAACATAGTTTGACCTCATTTATACAAGTTTTGATGGTCAGTCCACAAGCGTCTTCCTTGTAAGAAACTTCATTCCGAAATTAAAGCAGAGCCGATATATAACGCCGACAGAGCTTAATTCACGGATGAACTATGTCAGATAATGCCGAAGTTCAAGAACTAAAGTTCGAAGTCGACTTCAACTTGTTTGCGTCAGTTCAATGAGTCTAACAGACAGTCATGTTTAGACATGTCCACTTGATAAGCACTTGAACAAACCAGTTTCAGAAGAATCGTTATTTAAACGCTGAAAACATGACCGTTTTAACGATTTTCATTGAGTCGGTTAGCCCCAGAACTTCACCTGATTGACACAACCAATCCTTGATGGGTTAGTTGGCTGGTTGTCTAACGCACCTCTCAGCAACATTCCAGCTATATGGCGGAGGTCTGTATAAAATTGAGTCTGGACCAGAGAGTCCAGTGATCAACCAAAGCACAGCATTGGCGGATCCAGAGAGGGTGTTCAGGGTTTTTTGAAATGACTTAAGACCACATTGAAGATTTGGGGGTGGGGTTGGCGGAGCCCCTGAAACACCCAAACACACACCACCCAAAAAAAAAAAATAAAACCATTCCTGGATCCGCCCATGCACTGTACTCTACTGTTTCTATAGACTCAACACTGGTGCATCTCTCCGAGATCAATATGCCGCAGTTCAATTCTCGGGAAAATACAACACTATCTGCCCCTTAGACATGAATTCACAGTTTACCTCCTGCTACCTTGTTCCAAACACTTCTGTAATTGGGTTGTTTGTTTACCAATCTGATGATTGATGATGACTGACCCACATAATCAGCCTTTAATGATATCACCTGAACAGGCAGGTTGTGATTGATGTAACAATAACACTCTAGGCAGAACAGTTTTGATGACACTCCATCATATTGTATAGTGCTGGTCTAGTTGTTAGTTTGGGATTCAGAATAACCTTAAGTTTCACAATGCTAAATGTGTTCACTTGGCTTTGGTAACCTCCTCCCAAAAACATTTAGCTCCCAATCGATTTGTAAGTCTTCATTCCCATATGCTACAGTGACTGAAATATAATTCTTTGTCTCCCTCAAACACATTTCCATGTTCGCGAGCACCTTACATGTGGTCCTGGGTTTCATGACAGGGGAAGATCTGCATCACCAAGGGCTTTAATTCCACATCCAGCTGACCCTCAGTGATGTAAGTGATGTACTGTTCAAGCCTTGCTCACTGCTACCAGAAAGACTCAAGTATACACAAAGAACTTAATTAAGCACAACACGTACACTAAACTTCTCATGGTGGCCACTATGGAAAAACACAAGTTTTTCTGACCGGTATAATCCTTTGACTCATAAAAAACGACAACATGATTGGAACCCACATTGATTTTATATTGATAATTGATCATTTAAGAAAACCCAAACCCACTAATTTTCATACAAAAATCCAATGTCTGAACAAGTATGGCCATCGAATGTTTAATGTTGAATTTATTGGTGAATGTGAACATTCAAAATTCATTTTGCCTGTCTTAAACGATTCAAGGTTAATACCGAGTGTAACCCCAATGTGACTGTATGACAGCCAGCACTATCCTCCTCATGCCCCTTGTCAGCCTCCTTGATCCTCTGCTGGGGCAGTCCTAGTACTGGTTGGGACCATCTCTTGACTGTTAAATGGGCAAGGTTCTTGTACAGGAGGATCCCTGAAAGGCAATCATGTCCAAGATATGCTCATTTTAAGATCCGGGACATTCAATATGTCACGATATCTTATCGTTATTATTAGTTATCAATCCGGGTCATTATAATCTCTTTATATACCTTTCCAGCTAGGCTGTCAAGAGTGGTGTTTTTCCTCGATCATAGGATGTCAGTCCATAGGCACTTCTGAGTTTCAATCTCAACTCTCTGGGGAGCATACAACTCTTGCAGCCACTAGAAGTGATTCATGGCTATTCTCCCCTGACGAGGTACCTATTCACAGCTGGGTGATTGGGACACATAGTCATCACTTTGTCCAAGTTCAGACAACCCTAACTACTTTTTGACATATTCATGTGGCCACCATCTGGTCATATACCAACGGATTCGTGGGCTCTTTTAAGTGCACAGGGGTTGTGTACTGTACACAAGGGCACAACACTGAAAGAGTCTGCACCAGCCCATTTTTACATCCGTCACAGGTTGGCTCGATCCGGCACCTCAAAGCTCGTTGGATTACTAGCCTGAAACCTTAGCCAGCTTGCCCACCGCGCCCCATAACTAAGTACTTTCTGTATAGTATGTCTGAAACACCTCTATGACAAAGATAACAACGAAAGTATCTATGGCAGTATTTTAATATGATCTATGTACATTTTGACATGTATCTGTGGGATTGTGTGAGGTGCATACAGAGAAGCATGTGACTAGTGTTCCCGACAATATTGTACTGACTGACTGAGTTTGGTTTTACGCCGCTTTTAGCAATATTCCAGCAACATCATGGCGGGGGACACCAGAAATGGGCTTCACACAATGTACCCATGTGGGGATTTGAACCCGGGTTTTCGGTCTGACGAGCAACGCTTTAACCACTAGGCTGCCCCACCGCCCCCCGACAATATTGTAACCCATTGAGGCTTGTGTTCCTGACACATTGCTGACACAAGGAAACATGCTGGTGAGATCTAGCTGAGGATGAGAGACTTCACGATAGAAAAAGACATACTTTTTTCGACTCAGTAAAACCACCACTGACACTTTCGTCCCCTCTTAGGAACAAGTCATCAGAAACAAACGTAGGTGTGTTTCTATCCCACTGTACCACCACCCCTCACCACCACACCTAACAATACATTTACACCTATAAACAGATTTTTCAGATATTTTTGATTACAGTGAAAACCAATCTACTTTTCAATATCTGTGTAGTGTTAAGCATAAATATATATTGCGTATCGATGTGTATAATTTTCCAGAAGGTACTGTGGATAAACTGAAGATGGCTGATGCGACACACGAAGACAATCATTGGGGTAATGATACCTTTTGCAAAACTGAACAAAAATTCTCAGTGAAATACCTATTTCACATTAAATAAACTAAACCACATTTCATAGGCATTAACAATAGTGTGAGCTAAAACTGTACCTTGCATCAGGAATATTCATTGATAATACAATATAAAAGTTTTACAACATGACATTTACTAAGACTTTTAAGTAATGAAAGTCAGGATACTTAACAATTTCTCTATCTTTAAGAGGTTTTCCAAAAATTGTAATGCTATAAGATCTACAGAGAGACCAAATATGATTTAAATTACCATAACTGAATATGCAGATTTTCAATGTTAAAATCATTAATATTATTTCTTAACCAAGATTCTGTACAGTGTAAATGTTTTCTGTCACAATGATACAGCAAGTTTTTATCAGTGTCATGGCAGTGGTATCATGTGACATCATTATTTGCCATATATGGAATGCACATCAAGTACACGCAATGCTAATACCAGGATATATTGTGTCCTATCAACTTTAACTTGGTACAATCACTAAACCCATTCATTCCTATATACAATATTTGATTCCATGTGGAACATAAACATACATACACAAAACTGACATTCTCTCACAATACTTCTATACACAACATAACAATCATAGAAACATTTGTGCATTGTGTGATAAATGCAACATGAGATAACAATTCATTTCCCGTGAAAAAATGGATGGTTGTTGTAGCACTTTTGTTTACTTCACCTTGTTGCATCATGGAACAAAGGGGAGATAACTGCTGCTTACATTTATAAGGTGAGAGAGAATGTCTTGGCCCCACAAGCCGATTGATCGAGTTTAGTTTTACGCCGCTTTTAGCAATATTCCAGCAAAATCATGGCAGGGGACATCAGAAATGGGCTTCACAAATAGTACCCATGAGGGGGAATCAAACCCGGGTCTTTGGAGTGACTAGTGAACTACACAAGCCAAAGGATAATGGTAAACTACTGGAACGAAGTTAAAGATAACTGTAGTCATATGAAAAGTCTGCCCTTCTTTATTGTCATTTATTGCATGACAACACGGAAATACAATCTACACATACGTTTGTTTTACCTTCCTTCCTTACACTATTGATTCCATCAACAATGCCCCTACCATTATTTTGAGGACTGTTGAGTTTGAAGACTGAATAAAATGAATCTTATCCTCATAGGCAACTCATGTACAGTTTGTGCCAAGTTGGGTAATGCCAAGCCTAAACACTGCAAAAAGGAGGGCTTCCTTAGTCCTGTGTCAACATATTGTGCTTGAGAGTTTTGCAAGAAAAACCTGAAAAGTGAAGACGTGAAAGAACAATTGGGCAGTTGTATTTTTGTATAAATGTTTGGTAGTCAAGAAGAGTCTTCCTTAGTGATTTCCCATGCTGTAACAATGTTCTCAACAAAGACATGATTTAACGGGTAAATAAGTCTGACATGTAGATATATCAACACCCTGACTGAATCCACATTTAGTCTACTTTATATATATTTATATCTAACTTCATCTTGTTCTACAAGATTTGAATCTGAGCATTTAACTAGACTGCCACAGCTTTGTTAAGAACATCTGTGAGAGCTACCACAACAGTGTGATGAGGTGTTAGGGCTGGGACGGGTAACCCGGATACCCAGACGGGTGGGTAATGAGTTGGACCTGGGTACTTTCAGTTGCAATCTAGTTTTGAAAATTAGGCAAGTCGCAAAAATATCATGATGCAAAAACGAATATTGGTCGGTACTCGCAAAAATATTGTGACGCAAAATTTCGAGATTTACAGTACCCGTTTCAATACCCGGACCCGTTATGATCATGTGACTAATAGATTAAACAATGTAATATGGTATTCTTTTATGATAAAAAGGTTGTATTGCCTTTGAAGATTTAGACATAATTTACGATCACCTGTTTTGAATATAATACATGGTTAGGATATTGAAAAAAATCAAAATTTTACCTTCCGACCTGAAGAATATATTGCCATTTCTTACAAATTTGATGTCAGGAATTAACATAACGGGTATCAGGGTTGGGGTAACAGGGGTTGGGGTACCTGTGTAGAAAATCTGGACCCGTCCCAGCCATACAAGGTGTGGTGCAACTCTCCCGACCACCTGAGCTAATACCTGATCTCTTGCTAGTCTGGTGATCCATGACCAGGGTGGTGAACTCTCCAAAATACCTGAGCCAGCTATAACATATATGTTGGTACATACAAACTACCAAACTGATCTTGTGATAGGCTGCTGTCTAAGACATGTACAATGTAATACATCTACCAGAACACATGTGGACATATCAAAGAGTGACGCACACCTCATTCACACCAGCTCCACACCAAGCAGCCCATGATAATACAACATCAAGTGTCTGGTCATGGCCTATGACATATATATACATGGACAAGGCTTGTGCAGTTGACAGAGAGTGAGCATTGCTTTCAGAAATGCAGATCAAACGTTCTGAGGAATCAAACTCAGGCCTTCAGCATGACAAGCTAACTATCTGCCTCATACGGCACCTGTCCTTTTGGGTTAAAACTGACCATACAGAAACAATGTTTGTCCTAACAGATTGTTGAGTGGATCGGTTGGTCAGGTTCGATGATGACTGTGGATTCATTGTACTGCAATAGAGTGGCATGGTGCTCATAACATCAGTCATATGTTTGTCTTGTCCAATCTTTTCTATTTCTCAAGCTGCTGCCTATAGCTGGAATATTGCAGAGTGTGATGTCAAACAAAGAAACATACAAATATAAGTCTTGAGTGAATGAGTGAATATGATTTCACATCATTTCTAGCAATATTCCAGCAACATCACGGCAGGGGAACACCAGAAATGGGCTTCACACATTGTACCCATGTGGGGAATCTAACCCGGGTCTTCGATGTGACAAGCAAACGCTTTAACCACTGGGCTACCCCACCGGCTGGTATCCTAGTACTGGTTGGGACCATCTCTTGACTGTTAACTTTACAACTGATAATGAAGGGCATGACATTTCAATGACATTTCACGTTCTTATCGGCCACAAGTATCAATGTCTCTTTTTCGACCTTTTGTCAAGAGTGGTAAATGCGTTGGCTCATTACACCATAGATCTGAGTTTGATTCCCCATATATGTAGCACGTGAAGTGATATTGCTATTCTCCCATGACTGGGAAAGAAACTGATTCTGATTGGTCAATCAGATAGACAAACTTTGACATACAAGTAGGAATTGTTTTTCATCAGTACAAAATGGGGATCTGAAGTACTTTTCTTACAAAATATAATTAAATACAATCCCTTTCAATACAATTAGTTTTGACAGTCTTATCCATGATACAAAACAACACCGTCGACTGATATGTACAAGACATCTTTACCCATTCTCACATATACTGGCTGTGCTCACCAATAACCCAGATCCATGAGCAGTGTTACTCCTGTACTTCAACAGGAGCACTATGAACCCTGGAGTACCATGACAGCTTTGTGGAAAGGGGTACAGGACAATGGTTGACTCAGTTAATCTAGTTGCTCTTGGGAGCAGCCCAATGGTTTCTCCTGGTTACAGCCCAATGGTTTCTACTGGGAACAGCCCAATGGTTTCTCCTGGGAACAGCCCAATGGCTTCTCTTGGGAACAGCCCAATGATTTCTCCTGGGCACAGCACAATGGCTTGTCTTGGGAACAGCCCAATGGTTTCTCCTGGGCACAGCACAATGGTTCCTCTTGGGAACAGCCCAATGGTTTCTCCTGGGAACAGCCCTATGGCTTGTCTTGGGAACAGCCCAATGGTTTCTCCTGGGAACAGCACAATGGCTTGTCTTGGGAACAGCCCAATGGTTTCTCTTGGGAACAGCCCAATGGTTTCTCCTGGGCACAGCCCAATGGTTCTCTCTTGGGAACAGCCCAATGGTTTCTCCTGGGCACAGCCCTGATGGCTTGACTTGGGAACAGCCCAATGGTTTCTCCTGGGAACAGCTCAATGGCTTCTCCTGGGAACAGCCCAATGGTTTGTCTTGGGAACAGCCCAATGGTTTCTCCTGGGCACAGCCCAATGGTTCCTCTTGGGAACAGCCCCTGGGAATGGCCCAAGGTTTCTCCTAGGCAACAGCCCAACCTTTCTCCTGTGCACAACACAACAATTTTAACTGTGTGTAGGACAACAGTTGATATACTGAACACTGATACCGTGAGGAGCCAGGCTATTTGAGGATGGGTATAACCTCGGCTAAATATTTCGATGCTTTACGAAAACAACAGACACATTTGTGACTAAATTGCATATGCTTCCACAGAGTGTTCCATATAAAGGGGGTGGAAGTGCTCCCTCAAACTGTAAATAACAAGGAGGGATGTGAAGTGCCCGCAGCCATAGGTGTACACAAAAGGAGGGTGTATGTCAGAGAAAGGTGGAACAACGGTTACAATCAACATTGTAGGAATGTTTCAAAGCATTCAAATCAACATGTACCATCGGGGCTGATTCACTTCCAGGGTGTACTTAAAAGATGTACTTACAGGTGAAATATGAGGGTAGTTTTACCTCAGGGAATAGTACTGCCAGGGTGTATTATGGGAATAGATCTACAGAGTGTACTCAGATGATAGATGTACTTCCCGACTGTACCATGAGGATAGATGTACTGCCAGGGTGTACTATAAGGACAGGTGTACCTCTAGGGTGTACTCAGGGAACATATGTACTGTTAGGGTGCAGTATGGAGATGTATGTACTGCCAGGGTGTACTATGGATATAGCTGTACTGTTAGGGTGTACTATAGGGACAGATGTACTGTCAGGGTGTACTATGGAGATATATGTACTGTTAGGGTGTACAATGGAGATGTATGTACTGTTAGGGTGTACCATAGGGACAGATGTACTGTCAGGGTGTACCATAGGGACAGATGTACTGTTAGGCTGTACTATGGAGATATATGTACTGTTAGGGTGTACTATGGAGATGTACGTACTGTTAGGGTGTACCACAAGGACAGATGTACTGTCAGGGTGTACTATGGAGATATATGTACTGTTAGGATGTATCACAAGGACAGATGTACTGTCAGGGTGTACTATGGAGACATAAGTACTGTTAGGGTGTACTATGGAGATATATGTACTGTTAGGGTGTACTATGGAGATATATGTACTGTTAGGGTGTACCAAAAGGACACATGTACTGTCAGGGTGTACTACAAGGACAGATGTACTGCCAGGGTGTAGCCACAATTTTTTTCTAGCTGCTCTTCTGTCAGTCATGATGGACCCTGTCCATATTAATAATAACTTTAGGTCAGGTATTATGCAGACAATACATACACGGACAGATTAATCTGGAATCATCATCTGCCAGTATTATTTCAATATTTTCAACCAAACACCAACCATCCATACAAGATCATTTCAAAACCAACATCAATTTGTTCAGTTGCACCTTTCCCTCTATTCACTAAAACCTCACAGTGCTACATTGCAAGTCTCACTGTAAATCATCGTGTAAATCCCTAAGGTTTTCATTCATGCAAGCCCCTACAGTACAATGATAATTGTCCCTAATAAGCTACAACCAAGTCCCTTCCAAGCTGCTTTCATTAAATGTCTATACTGTAGTATGATAATCACAGGTTCCTATAATGAGAGAACATATATCGATATGTGGTCTCTGCTCTTGTAATAGTCATCATACGTCCTTACATTGCCACAATCATCAAAAGTCCCTACAAACCTCTGATTATTGTAAGTCCCTACTATTGTTGTGGCATATCATGGATAGAAACTTCACTCAATAACAAAGCGTTCAACATTTAATGGTGTTCTTGTATTCTATGCTGCTATATTATTCGAATGTATTTCCATAACATGTCAAGCATTAACAATTGGGTTATGTCCCCTTAACTTGTACACTTTACTTTAAACACTGGAATAAGTTCCCCAAATGTTTCAGGTATCTTGACAGAACGAGCTTAATAGGGATGTCACGATACATCAGTTTCATGAATCGATACCCATGTCACGATTCATGTATCACTATTTTCGCGGCATTATTGTGTAAATTTAGTTACATTTTGAACATTAATATTTCATATTTTATAACTGTCCATGAAAAGATCAACATTTTTGATTCTCAGAGATTAAAAAGTTCTAATTTCCCATCTTTGTGCATGAAAAATAATCATTTATAACTCTCATAACATAAAAACATGATACAATTGCAAAATGTAAATGATACATAAATATATTTAAACCGATACTTTCAAAACTAAATATCAATACAGTTTTGAATGTATCGAAAACTGTATCGTCTTAGAAAAAGTATCGATGTATCGTGGCATCCCTAGAACGTAATTTTTGAACTTTTTGGGGTGTTTCTCATATGTATTGGAAACTATAATATTGAACAAACTTTATGGATAAGGGACCGCTCATAATTTATGGCTTGGGGGTGATGATGGTTTTAAGGGGAACCCAATTTGTTCTGGGGAGGTAGGGGTCATCAATTTTGTACATAAAAATATTTAGGGGGGTGGGGTGGGGGGTGTCAGTCACATTGTACATGCTTCTCCATACAAATCATCATCATCCCCCCTAGCCATAAATTATGAACGGTCCCTAACAACTTCTTTATCTCATGAGAGCGACATTTCGATACAGATTCTTGTACCGTTGTGAAGGTGGTTATCCATAAGTTTGTACAATATTGTATGCCCCCAACTAAAATGCCACTCAAAGACGTTATTGGAAACTATGTCTAACAGACTTAAAATGTTAATTCAATCCCTGAAAGTGATAATTATCTTACAAAAGTCTACAGTAACAAAGACAGCATAAGCATAGGCATGGTTTTGCCAATATACATCTTCCACATCCTATAAACCATCCACACAAGATCACTTAGGCAGGAATCGAACAGCCATGTTCATCCTGATAAGCCAATGATATATAACGGTATACCTGAATAACAGTGGGTTTCCATTACAGACTTTATATACACATTTGTTCTTGATTATGAAGACTGAATATAGGTGTTGGTGAAATGGTATTTCATGTGATGATATTTCTGTTGGATCCATGAGGCATTTTACACATTTTCTGTGCAGTTCAAACTAAAATAAATATCATACACCATCCCTGTGACAAGATATCACTGTTGTTGTTCACCGAATGTAATTCGAAGATTCTTCTAGAACATCAGTATCCAGATCTTTTGGCTTGTACGACCATTTAGCTGCGGCCTTGTGCACCTTAATGGGTACCATTTCATTACGTGTCCTGATCACTAATCAGTGGCTTCAAAGTCGTCTAATCACAGATCAGCGGAGATTTAAACAACCAATCACCATCTCACACAACCAATCACATTCTTCTGTGAAAAAAAGAATCAACCAATCAGACCACAATCCACATTGACTGATCACCTGTAAATCATCCAATCAAAATTCACAAGAAGACAAATCATCCAATCGGAGACAACAGTTTGCCAGTAATGATAACACATACAGGACAATCACATTCTAGGTACATCCATCATGATGATCGCCCAAGGCTGGTGTTCTACAGGTCTGTAGTCTATATGTACAGCTATTGCATATTCTAGTGGTAGTCTTCTATGTACACCTAGGTCCTATTTGGGACGAACAATCAGAATATATCGGCACATGATGTCCAGTTCCTTTGCCAGTAGTCTCCCTTGAACATCCAGTCTTCCTTCCCTGTTGCAGGATTGACTGTGTATTCAAACCATCTGGAGAAGAAAAACAAGCATTTACTAATGGATACAAAATAAGGGATCAGCTGTTGATGCTCAGTCAGCTGAAGAGTCAGGATCTAGGACTGTTTGTCATATTTAATCTTTGTTGTTGGTCCGTTTCTTAACGCCACCCTCAACAATATACCAGCTATAGTCCGTTTGGCTCAAAAGCGCACCGATGAATTGCAATCTAACTCGAAAACTAATAAACATAAAATACTCAATGAAACGCTGATCATAATCAAAACATCATACCAACTCTGTGAGGTTTTTGCAGAAATTTTGTCCTAAAAATAAAAAAGTTGTTTAACAATCTATCATTAAAATATTGACGAAGTTCACTATTTGTTACGAGGGAGGAGTGCAGAGAAAGGGACAGCCAGGTGTTCGAGAACGGATGGAGACGGCACAGCACAGGTTAATGAATAAATAACTTTGTCTGTGAACGTGCTTCTCGAACACCTGGCTAATTGCAATTCATCGGTCCGCTTTTGAGCCAAACGGACTGTATATAGTGGTGCTCTGTAAATATTCGAGCCTGATTTATCAGTTCACAACAGAAATAACCCAATGTTCCTAATTCCAAGGAATTAGCTTGAGATCTTGTTCAACATAGAGGTCTTTATGCTATGACAAGTGATTATATTTAAGAATTGTTTACAGCACAGTTGTTTGAATAGAACTTTATAAAATGTCTATAAATGTAAAATAGTTGTTTAATGACCATAGTAATTATTACGGTTGCTGTGTTTTGACAGTTGTTGTGATTATTGTAATCCTACATTAGAACACTACAGAGTGTACTTGGAAACAATGAAAGTGCTGTGCTAGATGTTATTACATACCACACAGGACCAGTCACTCACCGTGGTGTCCATTCTTTCTTTGTTTTCTTCCTGTCCTTCCTGGCTGCTCTCTGCTTCTCCTCCAGGCGATTCTTCTCCAGAGCTGCTGCATCTGAAGGCAGACAGGAATTCAGCACAACCTTTCTACCAGTTCAATTTTATAACATAACACTCTTCCTCCCAAGCATGAGGGTATAATGACCAATCTCAGTCAAAATGAAGCTTGTGAGGGCAGAGACATGTGAGTTCAGAACCCTGTTCCACAACGTGATCGTAGTACGACTGTAGTAAGTCTGAGTTACGATCACTCAGGTGACAGGATCATGCTCAAGTGCTACTGCACTTGTGTGTGGGAAGTGAACTTAAGCTAATCCTGCTGTTGACAGAAGGACTCACATGAAAGTATTCCCAACAAAGCCTTGTCATTAATCTCCATTCTATCGGTTCATGTTTTATGTACAAATAGAGATGCCGGATCCATGCTCTGAATAATATGCTAGCTCATATCAGCGTCTAAAATTCCCGCCTGCCCAACCGTCCGGAACGGTCTATTTTCATACCGGACGGTCAAATTTCAAAAGTAGCCTGTCCGGTGGCCTGGTAGATATTTTTACCCCTAAGAGTAAATATTTCATAATATCAGACAGGTTCTCTTGTCGTAAGTTTGAGGTGTTTAAGGTATTAAGAAAATTATGTTCAACTATTTACGATTGGAAAGTTCATGTTACGATAACCAATCACAACACATGTACTCTCAGTTTACCTAAACTCGTTGCATTGCCTGTTAGTGCTCTGTAGTTGAAGTGCAATGCTTACAAACAGTGAATGGAGCTTGTCACAGTTGGAAATGGCAGTCACAGTTTTTCATTGTTGAAAACTGGACAGGCCAGTTTGTATCCGGACTGGTAATTTTTTTAAAGTTACCAGTCCGGCTGTCTGGCTTGGAATTTTGGGAGTTTTAAACACTGCTCATATATATACTGAGTCAAAAAAGAAACTTCACATTCTTTCTTCAGGGCACTATAAAAGAACAAGAGATGGTAAGATGGTTAAATTGTTATTATTTCATTGCTGAGATCTGTGTGATGTACTTGATACACTGACAGTGCCATAATCAGTTCCATTAGGCTACACCGCTGTTCCAAAACATGGGTATACAGAATGTTAAGTCACAAGAATAAAAATGCGAAATTTCTCAGTTCAATATCGTGTATGGCTGCCCCACGCATTCACCACTGCCAAACACCGTCTCCTCATCGACTGCCTGATGCTTGTGAACACGTGGTTGGGGATTCTGCGCCATTGCTCTTGCAAGGCAGCCAAGTTCCTGCAAATTCTGAGGTTGGTTCCTAAGACCACGAAGCCTTCTCCCAAGTGCATCCCAAACGTGCTCTATTGGATTAAGGTCAGGGGACCTCGATGGCCAGTCCATGACGCTGATTCCAGCGTTTTGAAGGAAATTTCATGTCAACATCGCGGTATGCGGCCGAGCATTATCATGCTGGAACTGTAGACCTGGGCCATGAGCCGCCATGAAAGGAACGAGTTCAGGGGTGAGCACCTGGTCGCGGTAAGCAGCAGCTGTGAGGTTTCCACGGATGACCAGAAGTCGGAACGGTTGTTCCCACAGAAAGCACCCCACACCATGCAACTTCCGCCCCGAATCTGTCGACTTCCTGTACACAACATTGGGCATACCGTTCACGACGTCGTCTCCAGACTCTATGCCTGCCGTCCGCGAATCTGAGGGTAAACCTGGATTCATCGCTAAAGACGACTCGATTCCAGTCTCTCTGGGTCCATCGGAGGTGACGTTGGGCCCACAGCAGACGCTGACGTTGATGAAACGGCGTCAATATTGGCCCACGATATGGACGCCGAGAATGGAGATTGGCAGCCCGCAACCGATTTCGAATGGTCTGTGGGGACAGTCGACCTCTAAACATCTCAGCCCTGGTTCGTGTAGCCGGCAGAAATCTGTCACGTAGGTGACGTAGGACGATTTGACGGTCTTCTGCTCGTGGACGTCACACGTGGACGATCCGACCTTTGGGCGATCAGAAGTGGTGCCAGTTTGTTGTAGACGACCTCGCAAGTCATACACAGTACGACGGCTGCATCCCATTGCTCTTGCGACGTCAATAACTGATCTTCCCGCTTGCAACATGCCAACGGCACTTTCACGCGCTTGCACATTTGACAATCGTGGCATTTCAAGTACCGTTAGAACTGTGGTTTAAAAGTGTTTTTTCAATTCTTGAGGCCAATGCAAACACGTGCATATGAAGAAAACTTCGATAGGAAGATCACGTGATCGACTGCACGTGCAAAACCTGATTTGGCACTAACGTCATTTGCACGACGAATGGATGGGTTTGAGTGGGTTTTGCTAACGTTTTTCTAGAGTCGAAAGATAGGGATCCCATTTCGGATACATAGATGTATCATCAGAGAAAAATTATTCATTATTTTTCAAATTACATTTTGTGAAGTTTCTTGTTTGACTCAGTATATATATATAGAATTTGGATGCCTACACACTCACTAGCGCAGAGGTTAATACTAGATCTGACAAGTCTCCATACGGGACATTTGAGAAAAAAACCTTTTGTAACATCCTGAATTTTAAATGTTATTTTTAATGCTGAGACGAAAAGCTAAGAATTTTGCACAAAGGAAATGAACTATGTTTTAGTCCAACAAAACTTTCGATATATCTGGATGTCTACCAGTCGGAGCCTCACCAATATTGCCATCCTCCATCAGCCTCATGTCTGGCCTGAGTCGGGAGTCTGTGGGCGGGAGTCGGTCCAGCATCCTCTCCAGCAGCTCGTTCAACCCCATCGCGAAGGAAGTGAAACAGAAGTACTGAAAGCACAACATGCATAGGGTGTTCACTGCACTGAAAAATAACTGTCACATCCTGCTTTAAAGTGTTTCTTTCATCAGTAATAATTGACAATTATTTTGGAAATGTCCTCAGATATCTCTCTAATGTATGTGATAGATAATTGATGAGTCTACAATCACAGTTGTCAATCATTTCATCCGCATGAAAGTAAACTAAACAAGTGTGCACACAAGTATCATGATGATAAGTGCCATTTAACAGAACAGAAATACTTTAAAAGGGAATGCAACTTTTGTCCAGGCTGGAAAATGTCAACATGCGGTCAAAACTTCCTCTACCATGTGCGCAGAGCGCAAAATCGAAGTTGCAGGCTCTTTGTTTTTAATCCAGTTTTAGCGATTTAAAGTTGCCGTTTTTACTGTTTCGTTTCGTATTATGTTTATGTTACTATTTCCACGATTAATGTGGACTTTTCAGCATTTTTCTGCACAGTGAGAAAGTGTTTTGGGTAGGCCTGATAAATTGCCTGTCTGGGATTACTTCTGCTAACCTTATGAGAGTCCTCTGGCCTGGGATTGGCTCTCCACAAGGTCACCTGACCAGGCAGACCCAGATCGTATGGCTGGAAGTTTTTGCTTGGAATGTCGTCTGCTACATCATCACCTGCACCCTTTGATGACGATGCACCATTTGCCTGTAAAGACACATTTAGAATCCAGAACAGGCCAAATAAGATTGATAGTGCTCCAATGCAATTCATTTTCTCCTTATATCAATGGTGATGAATGGAAGAATAGTGAAAATTGTGATTGACATGGTTATCTCCCTTGGACGTCAACTCTGGCAGGAATTAAACCTCTTGCATTTGAAAGGTCAAGAAACTCATCATGATAACACCTTACACAAAAACAGAAACAATCCTGATTGATGGGCAACTGAAAATCAATGTTTAATTCTCTTCTTCTAAGAGGGCTGCTCTAATAATATGTTTCACAGACACTAAACTTCACTATGAGTTCCGAGTTTATACTACTCAAACCCAATTTGTTCATATTACTGCCATTTCTGGTGTCCCCTGCCGTGATGTTGCTGGAATATTGCTAAAAGCGGCGTAAAACCAAAACTCACTCACTCACTCATATTACTGCAGTTACTTTATTGTGCCACAGCTGAACATTCAGTAAGTATTTCTTTGGCAATAAAACATAATTCACATATAACTTGAGCCACTGAATTAACTGCCTTTGTGAGCTCAAAGTGTGTATTCCAACTGATGTATAAGAATCTTATTACTTTATTTCAATGTCAGAACAGAAAGCAACTATACTATTAAAATGTGGACAGGTGTTTCAACATCATAAATCGACAGAGTTATGGACTTATCTCATGTTGCCTGATGTCACCATGCAAAGTAGGAAACTGAGCAAATAATGACTGGGTTTAATGGGTTTGATAATTTGGCCGGTCAGTTAGAAGGTGCTGGTAAAGGAATGCATTGTACAGGATCTTTTATAAGCACCTTAAAGATTGCTTTCAATCGATGTTTTCAGTCATGATAAGTGGACTTTTAATGATGATATATCATTGGAAAATAGATCGGTTTGTGTCATATGAAAACCCCTTAGATCATTTTTTATGTACAAGTGATGTTTACTCTCAGCATCAAAAAAAGTGAGTTTTGACTTTTTCTTTCTGTAAAATTTAGGGCTTCCAAGTTTATGTTCTTTTTAAGTCTGCACTGCAAACATTTAAGACCTATTGAAACCAGCGTGTAGCTTGTCATGGGACTCACCTTTGGATATGCATTATGGCTGGGAGATGAGTTGGAGGATGTGTTTTTGATGAAGGACTCATACGTTTCTGCCTCACAGGAGTACATGCCCAGCACCCAGTTGCCGTACATCGCTTTACATTTCCTCTTACTGAAACCGTCAGGACACACTTGAAGTAATATTCAAGAATGCTCATATCTACAGAAGGGCTGGTGGGATAACCTTATGTTAAAGCATTTGCTCGTCACGCCAAAGACCTGGGTTTGATTCCCAACATTGGTACAATATGTGAAGCCCATTTCTGGTGTTCCCTGCCATGACATTGCTGGAAGATTGCTAAAAAGCGGAATGATAAAAAGCGGTGTAAAACTAAACTCACTCTCTTATCTACAGGAATGTGGTCAACTGAATGTGGTCACAAGTCTAGGGGAGATAACTCTCATTTGTTGTAATTATTGCCAAGTGAGCCATTCTAAAATTAATTTGTAATCGTCAATTACCATGTTCTAAATAACTAGTTATATGCTGTATAGCATTAACAGGTTGTATTGCTGGGATGACGGCCACCTTGACAAGAACGGCATTTATGTTAGCAATCCTATGTGACGTAAGTTTCATAAAACACTCGTTCAAAAACCATCATGGGAAAATGTGATTGCCATAATAGGTGACTTTAAGTATTAGGTGGTTCAGTGACTTTGTTGTTTGGAACATGAGACATTGTTATATTCACGGACTCGCATATTTACAGGCCAACACGCTACTCCCGAGATCAATTGTGAGTGTGGAACAAATCACTGTAATTCAACAATGGATTAATTTGCTCACCTGGAATCAAATATAAAGCCTTCTACTTTATGGAGATCTTTACCGAACCAGCCTCCCTGTTTAAAGTTGAGGACAGCCTTGTGTTTTGTGGTGTGGTTAACAACTTCCATTGTCCCATACTGGAAACAGAAACAAGAAGATGAGGACAGTGGTCACGTCCCTGGAACCTCCTACCACACCATTCAGATGTCATTTCAACCACATCGTTGAGATCAGCTTTACTGCATTGTGAAAATATTCCAAGGGTGATGCAGGTTCTGATAATTATAACAACCAACAAGAAATGGTGCTGATAAACCGAAAATCAGGATCTGGGAGAAATCAGGATTCAAACTCCAAATGAGCATCTTAGATTACAATACAGCAACAGGGGCCCAGATGTCTGATGTCCCATTTCACGAAGCTATCGTAGTGCTACGACTGTCGTAAGTCTATGTTACAGTATTGGAGTTACGACAGTCGTAGCGCTAGGATAGCTTTGTGAAATGGTCCAACTGTAGCACTAGGATAGCTTTGTGAAACGGGCCTTGGACCATGAAATCAACAACAGTATGAAACAGGAAACAAATACATTGGTGAAATGTCATTGAGGTCCTGGGCCCATATGCACAAAGAGATCTTAATGTTATGACCACCTTAAGTCTTTGTTAAGAGTATGTGAGTTACGATCATTGCGGTGTTAAGATCACTTTGTGCAAGTGGGCAGTGACGGTTCACCAATATTTCTATTGGAGCATTCCCCACTGTCTACAACAAACCTGTCTGTTCTGATACTCACATGTTCAACCCAGAGTTTGCCCACAATGATGTTGTGCACACAACAGTTGACATTCTGCCATGTATACATCTCGTTGTGTCTGTAAGGAAAACAGACCAAAAATAACTAAGCATTCCAGAAACATCATGATGGTCAAAGGGAGATAATCTTCTTGTAAACTTTTCTGGACCAAGAAGGTGAGGTGAGGTGAAATTGGGTTTTACTTCGTACTTGAGAATATTTCGCTCATATGACGACGTGCATGCGTGTGTATGTGTATGTGCGGCTGCTTGTACTAGCCCAGACTTAGCTGGTTTTATAGTGCTAGCCCACTGAGATACCATGCCGCAGTGAAGCATGAATACCCCACTCAGACACATTATACTGACTCCGAGTCAACCAGTCCTTGTTGTACCCATTAATGCCGAGCGCCAGGCAGAGACCAACAAGTACCATATTTTAACGTCTTTTGGTATGATGCGGTCGGGGATCGAACCCGCGACCTTCCGCTCTCCGGGCGGACGCTCTGACCAGTACACCATGGAGGCGGTTTGGACCAAGAAGGAATTAAACCACATACGGAGGAGTACACCGAGTTCCACCTCTTTTGTATCTACCACACTGCATCATGCTATACAGCACAGAATAAAGACAAGTTTTCATACAACTCTTTCACACTACAATAACTCAAACATATTCAAATGTCACCTTTTGTTATTATTAAACAACATATATACTGTAGTTGGCAGCTATATGGCGGCGGTTTGAAAATAATCAAGTCTGGACCAGACAATCCAGTGATCAACAGCATGAGCATCAATCTATGCAACTGGGATATGATGATGTGTTAACCAAGTCAGAGTGTGACACCTGATCCCGTCTTACCACAGTCGCCTCTTACGACAAGCATGGGTTACTGAAGGCCAATTCTAACCCGGATCTTCACAGGTGAACATATACTGTAAAGTTGTAGAAAGAAATTATGTCACTTAAATTTTAGATGCAATTCTTTGATATCACAAAGACTTTGAATACTGCAGACTGAATGCAAAAATATTTACACACTTCACAAAAAAAGTACTTACTCTTTTAATTCTAACGTGATTGTTCCCTTGGGGTTGATTTCAACAGACTTTCCCCAGAACTTGAGTTTGGGGTTGATGGATCCATGGAAGGAATATTTGGGGGAGGAGACATGGATGGCACTGATGGGAGGGTGGTGACTGACTTGCTCCCCCATCAACTTGTAGCCCAGGTCAGGTCTGGAGGACACAAAAATATATCAGCATATAATTATTTATTTGGAGTTTACATGACACAAATACAAATTACCATCTATACAGTGGTCAAATGTAACATATGTATATATTTGGGATAACACTTTCTCAGTAAAGTACAGATTCTAGTACTTTTGTTGGGTTGAGTCCCATCTGAGATTCGAACCCACACCCTCAGAGTTAGGCACCTAATCGCCAGCACTGAGAGAGGGTGTGGGTTTGAATCCTGATGGGACTCAACCCAACAAAAGTACTAGAATCTGTACTTTACTGAGAAAGTGTAATCCCAAATATAACCTATGGTACAGGACACAGTTTTTCCACACAGGAAGAGGCGGGACACACTACACCAAAACTGTTGTTCATTAGGGTATGAAGCAGACATTTTGACTATGAAATGATGTAAGTACTGATGGATAATTTCCAAGTTTTGGTAAACCCCTTGGAATGACCTAGCACGAACAAATACAGAAGCCTTGTTGCTGACAAATTAGACCCTTTAATGTTGAACTTGTTTTAGTATAGACTGGAAATCAAAGACGTGACCCCACTGACTCATATCCTCCCTACCACCCATCCTGGTCAATGGAACAAGGACAGCATCAGTACCTAGACGGAAAGTGACAGTTCACAATAATCTATGACTTTAACTCAGTATTTATACAACTCATAATAACCTTTCAATGACTGGCTATCTGATCAGTAATGACTAACACTTCTAATCACACCAGATTCATAAACAACTTCGGAATTCTCTCCCATCACGTTTACCAGATTGACAATTTTGACAACCAGGCCCTGATTTCTCGAAACAAACTTCAGTCTCAGTTACTCAAAGTTGAGAAAACGCAGGAAAATGCATTTCCCAGAATGAACTGAAATCGATATGAAACTCAAACATAGCAGACATTTTGAGTTCGGTGGATAGATTACTAAAGTTGTTTGGGTTTTTTATTTTAAAAATGCAGTTGAGTTAAACATTCAGCTATTTCAAATTGTCAAACTTAGTTTGAAATTTGAGTAAAAACTTAAGTGTTTCGAGAAATCGGGGCCTGTACTTGATACGAATGTGTTATGATGTTTTGTCACTCTGACATAATCCAGCTATGTGTTCCCAAAACCTCGTCACTGACGTCATTCATTTTATAGGGCAACCTCTCAAACGGCACTTCTACAGAATATCCCCTTTATCATGGATTTAGTTTGCATTTGAACAAAATCCATAAAACTCACATTACAGTTTTAACATAAGGTGAGGTGAGGTGAAATTGGGTTTAACATCGTACTTGAGAATATTTCGCTCATATGACGACGTGCATGTGTGTGTATGTGTATGTGCGGCTGCTTGTACTAGCCCAGACTTAAGCTGGTTTTATAGTGCTAGCCCACTGAGATACCATGCCGCAGTGTAGCATGGATACCCCACTCAGACACATTATACTGATTCCGAGCCGACCAGTCCTTGTTGTACCCATTAATGCCGAGCACCAGGCAGGGACCAACAAGTACCATATTTTAACGTCTTTTGGTATGACGCGGTCAGGGATCGAACCCGCGACCTTCTGCTCTCCGGGCTGACGCTCTAACCACTACACGACGGAGGCGGTCTTTAACATAAGGAAAGTGAGGAATGAAGTAAAATCATTAGGCAAATTTAATGTATATTTGAGAAGAACCGAACATTCAACCTTTGTATTTGTAGCTCAGTGAGGATCAACAAAGGGATTTGTTGTTTCTTATACATAGAAAACCTATCAATGCTGGATATAATGACCGTGTTGTGTTACGTGATGGGCATTTATTTGATAACACATTGCCACTACAAGTAGCACATCTTAAAAGAACCCACGAATCCGTTGGTATATGACCAGATGGTGGCCACATGAACACATGCAAACACCTAGTTGCGGGTACAGCAACGTGCAGTGAACTTGTACAAAGTACTGTGACTGTGTGTCCCAGTCCACCCAGCTGTGAATGGGTACATCGTAACGATGGGAAAGCTGCAATAACTTGGTGTGCCTTGTGGCTGCAAGAGTTTTTGATCCCAAGGGAGTTGAGATTGATAATACGATGTGCCATTTGAGATTGACATCCATTGATCAAGGGGAAAAAAGCGGCTTGAGCACTTACTAGCTGCGTGGATATGTGTGCTATATAAATATCCTATAAGAATACACATCTCACCGTTCCAACTCGTAAGTTTCTCCTAACAAGGGGTTGAAAGGTTTTCCTATTCTTTCCCAGTTGGAAGAAATTGCTGACACAGCAAAAGCTGCAACATACTGAAAATAAATTTGCACAGATCAAGAACAACCAGCAGTCTCATCTATCGAACAGATGATCAGCACAATACATTGTACGTTTCTATCTTAACTCTGCATGCTGTTTGATCAAGGTCATGAACAATGTGATACTTACTGATGTATATTAAATCTATCAATAAAAATGCTTTAAAGTGACAAAAATAGAATCACACAGAGTTTTTCTCTCAAAAACACATCTGAAATCTATTTAATGTTTAATGCTCATACAATGCCAAATTAATAATACTTAAATCGTTAAACCATTAAAGAAACATATTTTTTACATTTTAATTTTTATAGGTACATCGTAAAGATGAATTTGAATATAAACACGATAACAAGACCTCAATTTCATATTTACGGGTATACAGATATTTGTTATCAGCAGGTGAGACAAACAGAAAACAATTGTTGAAAGGTTATCAGAATATGTTGCTACTTGTACAGTGGAAGATATGCTTGTCTCAGAGTAAACCCTGCTGTTACCTCTTGTAACCTGCTGTCTTAAATATCGACCTAACATATACACAATTTATCTATTGGTGAATACACAAATTAACATTTAGTAAAGTAGTGCAGAACCACTTAAAATTTGAAAAGCATCAAGATGACATTAAATATTTTGAACATAAATGCCAGATATTCTAAGTCCATGATTTAACTACTCTCAACTTTAAAAAAAATTGAAACAAGGTAAAGTATCGAGAGGCCTGAATAAGTTCGGACCTTCTGTGCTCGGAATATCTACAGGGTGCAAGCTATCCAAGTTAGATGCAATTGCTAATATGGAAGTGACCTCTAATGTCGTACCTGCATCCGCTTGACGGGGTCGGCCTGGCGACTGGCCTCATCCAGGAGGTAGCTATACTCCATATACTCGGAGATTCGCTGGATAAAGCTGATTGGCTCGTTGAATATCACAGGCATTGTGATCTTGGACAGTTCCTGAAACATTACCAAAAACCATTCACGTCACTTCCTGAGAGACAAAATACACTTATTTAAAACTGTGTCTTGAAAAGTTTGAACAAATTATTCAAGTTATAAAAAACTATGAAATACCCTGTTCAGCCAGGGAAGAAATTCATCAGGACTAACAGAAACTCGGACACAAAAACACACAATACGGTTCCACCATACATTAGTTCTTGAGTGGTTAATATGAAGTCAGGAATATTCAATACATCGAGGCGACATGTAAATATTAGACTGGGCAAAGCAAACAGTGATAAATAGCCTGATCAATGATCCCCTATGTCAGGGTACTACAATCAACCAGGTCTTACAACTTGCCCATCAAATCATCATCCCGGAGATCGAATTTGTTCCGGAATTGGCAGAGATTTCTGTTCAAAAACTTCTTTGTGAAACTCAAATGATGTATGATAAGGTCTAGTGTTTCTGTCTGAATAACACAACTACTAGACTGACTGACTGAGTTTGGTTTTACGCCGCTTTTAGCAATATTCCAGCAACATCACGGCGGACAACTACTAGAATGGTCATTATGGACTCAAAGCTGCAGACTGATTTTGCTAGGTTGCCAGATCAATTCTATGTGTTGTGTAACTGATTCCTTGCCAACATAAGCGATACAAGTGGCATCAAGAAACTGACAAGATTAACTTAAATGGACCACTGCTTTTGATTAGTTTACCATTATTTTCAAAACAACAATATTTTTGTGATCTGCTAATTCAGCTTCAAACAATATATTGTTGCTTGACTTTGATTTTCTTGCATGACAAATGTTTGAGACTACAAAAGGTCATTTATAAAGTGTTTGATTAACATTGGGTTATATGAATAATCATCATATTACCATGAGGAGTACACAATTAAAACATTCGTGTAAGTCATGATATTTCCTGAGAGAAAGGGTGCTCGTCACGCAAGGACCCCGGGTTTGATTCCCCACATGGGTACAATGTGTGAAGCCCATTTCTGGTGCCCCCTGCCTTGATATTGCTGGAATTTTTGCTAAAAGCGGCATAAAACCAAGCTCACTCACTAAGAGAGATAAAACTGGACCGCGTACATCTCCAGCTTTTCATAAAACCAACAACCAAAATCTATGCCCTCCATCTCATCACACATATCTATGATCAGTTCCACGAGATCAGGTTTGAATTTGGAATACAGAATTATACATAAATATTTCTCATCCCATTTACAACACTATCCAATCAGGTGAACACAGGCTGTCTTCGATGACAAAACGTCCCCTTTAACATCCCGAAAAAGAGTCCACAGTTCACTCAGTCGACTAGGCCCTTCAATCATGACAGCCAGGGAATCAAGGACAATCCCAATCAATGCCCACCTTGCTTTCTGTACTCAACCAATAATAATCCTCCTGGTGCTTAAGAGGCTGTGGCCCTTGCCGCAGATACTTGCTCTGTTATTGAGACTATTTATTACAAAATGGGAGGAAGAGCTTCCCTATTCACTCCCCTAGCAGATTGCCCTCAAGCATCTTACAGAACAATTACAACAATAAGCCGATTGTGGGATATCTGTCTGAATCCCGCTCAGGCAAGACTGATTGGGGTAGTGCAGTGGTTGATGTGTTTGTTCATCTTGGACTCATAACACAAAGTGGCTCCTGTTAACATGATTGTTTAACATGGTACTTCACATTTTCCACAACTTGAAACCTTAATAAATAAATATTCTGTCTGCCTCCTTCTCTTAAATCAATCACATTTTCTACATAATGCTTACTAGGAAAATGTGAATATTTGGCATTAAGACAGAGAACATGAACAGCTAATAAACCAAGAAGCGTAATGATGGCAAATCTGAATTCAAACCTATGGTCACCTGGGTCATACTCATGCTGATAGACATAAAAGGATTCCACGGCCAGAAGTATTCAGTGACCACTGTTTCTTGCAGTGAGTGAATTTAGTTTTATGCCACACTCAGCAAAATTCCAGCTATACGGCGTCTGCCTGTAAATAATTGAGTCAGGACCAGACCATCCAGTGATCAACAGAATGAGCATCAATCTATGCAATTGGATACGATGACATGTGTCAACCAAGTCAGCGAGCCTGACCACCCCATCCCGTTAGTTGCCTCTTACTGGGTTACTGAAGATCAATTCTAACCTGGATCTTCATGGGTCCTGTTCCTTGTAAATGCAGAGTGAAGCATGGCTTTTATTATTTTTTAAGATTATTCTAGAAATATTTGCCGTGGTAGGTGGGAAGAAATAAAATGAAATAAAGGTTGCGATTATTTCTTGTTTTCTGAAAAAATGTTAAGTGCATCTCCCTACTTCTTCCTTGCAGTAAAACTAGCAACACAGTTGTATGCACATTGTACGTTATTGTGGTATAAAAAGAATAACGCCTTTCAAATACATGTTTTCTCCACTTCATATCTCAGGGTTATGGTCAGTTTTCCAAATTGAAATAAAACCCTCCAAACCTATTTGTTTTGGGGGTTACTGTGTGAGTGTGTGATTGAGTTTTACGCTGCATGCAGAAATATTCCAGCTATATGGCAGAGGTCTGAAAATAATCGAGTCTGGACCAGACAATCCGGTGATCAACAGTATGAGCATTGATCTATGCAAGTCAGCGAGCCTGACCACCCGATCCCGTTAGTCGCCTCTTACAACAAGCATGGGTTAATGAAGAGAATTCTAACCCGGATCTTCATGGGTCGGGTTATTATGTGAAACCTGGGTGATGTGTCATCATGTAGCCCCCATAATGTAGGTTGCTGCTGACACTATCAACCACTAGTTGGCCTGGCTGCACTAGTTACTGAAGCATGCGGTGAAATTCCTCAAATTCAGCAGACTCCAAGACAAAACTGTATGAAACTGACCCAACTGCCAAAGCAGGTTTAAGATAACATTGAACTTCATTGCCTAACTGCGAAAGTGGTATTGAACTCAAGGGACACTTGCCTTATTTCCAAATTAAGAATAGTGATAACAGGCTAAACTGTATGAAACTGACCCAACTGCCAAAGCAGGTTTAAGATAACATTGAACTTCATTGTCTAACTGCGAAAGTGGTATTGAATTTAAGGGACACTTGTCTTATTTCCAAATTAAGGACAGTGATAACAGGCTATTTGTATGAAACTGACCCAACTGCCAAAGCAGGTTTAAGATAACATGTAACTTTACAGTCTAACAGCAAAACTGGTATTGAATTCAAGGGACTCTTCTCTCATTTCCAAATTAAGAATAGTGATAACAGGCTATTTGTATGAAACTGACCCAACTGCCAAAGCAGGTTTAAGATAACATGTAACTTTACAGTCTAACAGCAAAACTGGTATTGAACTCAAGGGACTCTTCTCTCATTTCCAAATTAAGAATAGTGATAACAGGCTATTTGTATGACACTGACCCAACTGCCAAAGCAGGTTTAAGATAACATGTAACTTTACAGTCTAACAGCAAAACTGGTATTGAACTCAAGGGACTCTTCTCTCATTTCCAAATTAAGAATAGTGATAACAGGCTATTTGTATGAAACTGACCCAACTGCCAAAGCAGGTTTAAGATAACATGTAACTTTACAGTCTAACAGCAAAACTGGTATTGAACTCAAGGGACTCTTCTCTCATTTCCAAATTAAGAATAGTGATAACAGGCTATTTGTATGAAACTGACCCAACTGCCAAAGCAGGTTTAAGATAACATGTAACTTTACAGTCTAACAGCAAAACTGGTATTGAACTCAAGGGACTCTTCTCTCATTTCCAAATTAAGAATAGTGATAACAGGCTATTTGTATAAAGCTACTCCTGTGAAGTGATCAACACCATCCCTGCCCTGCTCCACACAAATGCCATGGCTCCGAAGGAGCCCACCTAGGACATGAAAGTGATCTATCGAGAACCATGGACGGAGTGAAACGAAAAAATTGATTGGCCTAAATTTGTTCCTCTGTCCTGACTGCCAAAAGCCCGAAGAAATCAATCTTCTCCTAAATTTAGTTTTCTTCTCGGGCAAACTTGTCTACAGGAATAACAACCATCCCCCTACTGGCTCCATGTAGCTCCACGCTCTGTGCAACTATCAAACTTTGTACAGAGTTCGAAGAAAGCAATCAAGCAGGATAGGATCCCAATCAATGGCCTCATCACATCAATAATTCAAAAAGTACCACACGTGACAAGTAGACCCCGCTAGTCGCCCGGATCAATGGAACAATCCAAGTTTTCGAAATAACCCGGTAGGCAGTCGTTTCTGTGCCTTGGCGTTGCTTGCAGTTATGATACTAATGTCAATTCCGGCACTGATAAAATCAATATGCATCATTATCTTATATTTATCTTTGTGTGATCTTGGGGGGTAATTGCTCTGTCTAGCCTACAGTCCCTTCCCTGCCGCCAAAACTGTAGGGAAAAATCCTGGTTCATCCAAAGTATGTATCAGGAGACTCTGTTATTCACTTTGGTAACATGGTAACATATAATTGGTTTCTCTGCCAGAGGATCATACGGTTCAAGTTGATGTTATGTCATCTCTACTGCTGCCATAATATGATTGCATCAAGCTCTGATTGCCCAGCGTGAAGCTGAACTCATATTAGAGCTGCATTTGTTGGTTTGATTTTAATATCCCTCCGGGCCCATACTGACATCCTGTATGGAATTCAAAATCGTTCTTGACACATCACCCTTTTGCTTTTCTGTATAAACATTATCCTGCTTTGAAAAAAGGTAAATCTGTCTCCCATTTTCATGAAGGAAAATCAAGTTCTATGGATAGTCAACTTCTATATTGCGATGAGTTCAAAGTTTCAGCGTAGGTACTAACACCGTTATCAAGCAAGTGATAGTGTTAGTTCCTACCCCGAAACGTTGCACTCATCGCAATGTAGAAGTTGACTATCCATAGAACTTGGTTTTCCTTCATCTTCCAAACTTCTAAAATGACTCTCAAAGATCCCATTTTCATTATTAGAAATCCT